TATTATATAATATGTCTTTGTTGTAAATGTCTGTAACATGTCTGTAGATTTTATTTTACTTCTATTTTTTGCTTTGTTCTATGTTAATTTTATTATTTTTATTTGCTTTGGCAACACTGATTGTACCCATCGGTCATGCTAATAAAGCACCTTGAATTGAATTGAATTGAATACTCTGGGAGACACGGGGAGACCCCGAGAGACTGTGGGAGACTCTGGGAGACGCTGAGGGTCGCGGAGAGATGCTGGGAAATGCTGAGAGACACAGGGAGCTATACGAAATAAGAAGAAAAAAAAAACGGAAATAACCTCCCTGTTCCTCCAGTCATTCACTAGAACTTCCGCCCGGTTGACAATACAGGTGAAAACAGGTTAACAGCCGGATACGGGTGAATTTCCTGTGCAGTGGTGAAGAGGAACCACAGCTGAAAATGTGTCTTTTCTTTTTCATTCAAGATGGAATAACCCTTTACCTGTTCCTTTGCAGCCTATGCATGCTGACACAGGTACCTACTGGAACGTCTATAATTCTTATTTTGTTTCTCTCTTGTGAATCATTAGGCCGCTGTGGGATCGGGGAGCAGGGAAAGACCCATCAAGGACACAGGCAGAAGGATGCAGGTCGGCTGCCTTTACATAAAGAGAGGTGGGAGAGTGGAACAAGCTGCCCAGCCGTGTGGCTGAAGCCGATGCCCCCCGGCTGCCGGCGAAGACACAGCTGGAGGAGGGCATCCCCCAGCCGGGTCGGGCGGCCCTACTTTACACCAAGGGTGGTGGGGGTGGGGAGCAGGCTGGCCAGCTGCGTGGCTGACAAGAGTTTGCGGGCTGGAGTTAGGTGTACGGTAAGGGACTGGAGACTTTGTTCCCTGACCAGTGGAATTGAAAGTAAACAGGCGCAGAGCGACAAAAGAACTAATGCAAACACAAATTAAATATAAAAAGTTGCAAAATTCCTGTTCCTCCAGTCATTCACTAGAACTGCCGCCCAGTTAATAATACGGGTGAAAACAGGTTAACAGCCGGATATGGGTGAATTTCCTGTGCAGTGGTTGAAGAAGGCATCCTCCAGCCAGGTCGGGGACGGCCCCACTTTACACCAAGGGTGGTGGGGGCGGGGAACAAGCTGGGATGGCGTGAGGACTCTGCTGCCACATCAGGACGAACGCTCGCTTGTCCTCTCCGCTATAAATAACACAGTGTGCAGCAGCCACAACAACAACAACAACAATAATAATAAAGGTGAAACTAACGGTTTCTGTTTTGCTAGGTGCCGCTCGTTAAAACCGGCGATTAGCCGGAATTGTGCCTGGATGTGCAGAGAAACGTCACAGGTGCCCATTGCTTGCTGGGACAGACTCCACCTCCCCTGTAGCCCTGTACTGGGCAAACTGGGAATACAATGTACGGCATAATATTTTTAATTTTTTTTTAAATTAAATGTATAAAGAATTTACAAATACAACTACAACCAGAGGATCAGAAACAGGTACAAGAGGAAAAAACACACAAACAGGAAAAAAAAAAAAAACATTTAACCGCCAGAGGTAATGAAGTCAATGACGTGATCAAATTGTATTTTTTACATATATCATGTTTTCCTTGCTTTATTATTTCTACACTTTTTAAAATAGAATTCATATAGTTTCAGCTCCACCTCAAAAGGATCTCTGCGCCTGGGGCTGGGAGGGGTTTGCCGGTTCGAATCCCGCGGCCGGCAGAGGAATCCTACTCCGTCGGGGCCCCCCCTGAGCGAGGCCCTGAACCCCAGCTGCTCCAGGGGGCGCTGTACAATGTCTGCCCCTGCGCTCTGACCCCCAGGTTCTCTCTCTCTCCCTGTCTGTGTGTCTCCTGGAGAGCCAGCTGGGGTCTGCGACAGGACCAGTTCCTCATGCAAGACATTGTATAGGGTTAGTAAAGTGATGTTATTATTATTATTATTATTATTATTATTATTATTATTATTATTATTATAAATGCACCAAAGATCAACGGATCGTCCTGCGCATGCTTCAATGCAGAGAGCACTAATCTAACTGGATAAAACCTATGAACAATTGTAAACGATCTCTCTCATGTCATATTGATAATAATACTAACATTATATTATTAGAAGCCTGGATGTCCGGGAAAGACGTCATGGGGAGTTTGAGGGCGGCGCTATCCATTCTCATCCGATCTGCAGTAAGGGGGTAGGATACTTTCATATTACCCGTGGGGTCTCCTTTTCACATTCCACCTGGTTTTGCGGGGGGCTGTACAAATTGTTTTAGCGCTATAAGTGTGTCCAGGATGTGTTTTTTTCCTCCGGGGCAGGTTTTGGTAGGTATTTTGACGGCGCCGCTTAATGCCGCCACTCACGACAACAAGAGCTCCGGTCCCGCCGCGCTGCAGTCGGAATTGAAAGTTGAGCACACGCGTAGATAACAAAATAACCGGTTAAATGTGTAAAAAAAAATAAAAAGGACACGAAATAGGAGTAGCTCAGATATCCGCTGCCCGGGGCGACGCATTTTTGCGGAGTGATGACTGTTTATCGCGGAAGTGCCCGGTCTTATTTCATTGTACTTACTTTACTTTATGTGTCTGCTTAATTATATATATATACACACGCATAAATACTTCAGTTTCATAACTCATATCTCCCCACCTGTCGCTTTACACCTAGAACATGCCTTAGCCCTTC